CCCCCCCCCTATTTTCATAATTTAACCATCAGATGTAAATCAAAGCGTCTACAAATAAGTAATGTAACGTTTGACCGTTTATTTTTATGTTTAAACGTATATTCTGTATGCAGTACACGGCAGTATCTCATGGTGGGTACTGGGTCCCCCATCTGAAAAATCTACTATGACATATGTCATATATAAGTTGTAAAAGTCTAACTTTTTGAGCTTATGAGATTTATGTACTTATATATTTCATAATATATGTAAAATTAAAAAAATCCTATTGTAAATATTTAAGTTTTTAATTCCAAACGCATAGGTAAATAACTCTTTGAAATTTCTCGGGTTTATACTTCAAATCGAWTTTTCTCAAAACTATAAATGCCAAGTTGTGGCAGTATTGTTCTAGAGCTGTGAATTTTGTGTTCATAATTAATAGTCATATAACTTTTATCGGCGATTTAATATTGTAATATGTTGAAATGTTAAATTCCACTAACAGCATTTATAATAATAATAATAATAATAAATAGCAATGTATAACATATTATTATGCAATAGGTACCTGGAGGATTTGTCGACATTTTATCACCCCGAAAAAAAATATTGGATTAAGACGCTTCAGGGACTAGCTATACTTATCCAATGTTTCTGTGGTGAAGTGCCTTCATTCTTTCTATCGGGTGAGCCTACCTAGCTGGGTCAATCGCATAAACTGTTTGGGAACTAATGAATTTCATGCAAATAACTRAATGGATGTTTACTTTTTCAGGTTATATACTGAAACGTGTTGGTCACATGAACGTATTTTCCCTTATATTTTTTGTGTATGCTTTGATATTTTTCCTATTTTCAATCATCAAAAACCCTGTTTACGTTTTGCCAGTCGAGATACTCTGTGGCATAGCGTTTGGGTTGTTATACTCTGGAGCCATTTCGTATGCGAATCTTTTGACTCCTGCTGGTGCCGAAGGAACGTTTCAAGGAGTCGTCGGAACAGCTATGTTGGGAATTGGTTTGTCCTATGACTATTCTGGTCATTTCAATATTTTATCTGTTATACGTAATAACGTATTAYCATATGATATTTTGTAGTTTTTTACTACTGTTATAGGTTATTTTATAACAGATTATATTTATAAAAAAATAAAATATTTACTGTGAAATAAAATATGTAAATCTATATCGTCAGTCTATATAAAACTAATTTTATTATACAAGTATTTATTCCAATTGTCTCCCACTTGTTAACACGATCATTTATAAAAAAAAAGAAATATTCTATCGTAGAATAGGCATAATAACTATACTTATAATATTATAATGGAGACTTAAGTATGATTTTTTATACGAATACATCTAAATACAGGTTTATAGATTATATTAATATCAGTTTGCTATTTTTGAACAATGCAGCATGACTTTAGAAGCATTAAAACTAATAAATATCAATAATATGAGATTAATGTTAAGCTTATTCAATGAATAAAATTACACGTTTTTATCGTCAATATTATGTTTTATTATCTATAGAATATTTTTTAAAATTATTTGACCTTGTAATATAAAAATTCATTAGAGTACATCTTAAATTCAAAAGAACAAAAAAATATATATTATATGAATAAAAACGCTATCAAATGTGTATCCACTTCATATTGTTTTCAATAATAACGTTACTARTTTTCACCGATTCCATTGCTTACCTACCTTTTAAATTATGTTTATTTAACAATGGGGATCAACGTGTTCTGCATAACATAAACTATTATATATTTTAAGTAATTGTTCTTTTCGTTTGAAAGATAGTTGTGATGATGAACAAATATTTTTTTTATAAAAAGTGCTTTAAATATATTTAGCTATACCTACCGAAATGTTTGTATTGAAATGTGATTAATAATTCTATTAAGTTTAAATTACAGTTTAAAAATGTTTAATATAAATGTTAACAATAAATTGATCCCAATAAAATTGAATTTTTTCATTTACTTTGGGTGTAAGTACGAATATTGATTAAATAAGTGGTAACATTGCTATTTGTTATTTTTGTAGAGTGTACCTGATCAGTGACTAGTACAGAAACCTACACTGCCTAATGGATGTGTAAATTTGAATTAAATAATAAACTATTATTTTTGTATGAATAGTCCGTGGTATAATAAAAGCTAAAGATTTTCATATTTTGAAAATTTTGCTGTGTATAATAAATATTAGATAATAATTTGCGTAGCAGCAAATAGTTTTGTTTTAAGTCGCTGAATTTTCCTCCGGGTACCTTTATTCTAGACTGGAGGCGTAAATATTTTATATTATTATTATACTGCTGTTTTGTTCTTCGAGTCTATAATTCTAGAAGAATGAACTTATTATATTCCTATTAGTATTTATTTGAAAATGTATAAACATGGCTGTTATTAACACTGACTTTACGTGACACCAAGAACGGTTTCAAACGAATACGAAATTTTAAAATTAAATTTAAAATACGAAAAATGCACGAATATTATTTTGAAGTTGTTCGTATAGCTCATTATTGTAATTATTAATTATTAATTATGTATTATTTGTATGAAGCTTCTTTTGCATAATAATATGACAAAAAAAAACATATTCTGCATATCATTTTTTACTTACTTAATTGAATTTTTTTCACACAGGTATAGGTCCTATAATTGGATTTTTACCTACAATAGCGAAACAATTGGGRTACTCAATAACTACATACGGTGTCGTTATGACTTTTATGTCGATGATATCAATGGTAATGGCGCCTATGGCTGGTTTAATCGTCGACAGATTCCGAGTGAAAAAAACGTTATTTTTTATGGTAACTCTATTGATTGGTGTGATTTCATTTTTCTTCATATTTGTTCCAAAAGTGCCTTTGGAAAGATGTGTGGAAATGAAATGTGAATCAGAAATTGTTTTGATTGTTCGTCCCGATACCGTTCAACAAAATACACATAATAATTCGATTTTTATTGATGAGAACAATGAAGAATTGATAATATGCAATGTGAGAATAAATAAAAATATTTAAATGTGTGTGGGCTTGGGACGGTTTTGTTTGAACAAGTGTAAAGTAATGATTGTACATTTCTGTGTTTTGCTAATATTTTGTTCAAATTTACAATAATAAAATACATAGGATGTGTCACAAATATTAACTAAAATTAAAAATAAAACTGAATTGTCGAGGAACAATAAAATTTACCATAAAACACTGTCTGGAATGATTTTATACAGTGAGCTGAGCAATGAATTTATTGATTTTACAATAAAATGAGTAGGTATGTTTTTTTTCTTTTTACCAGTATGTACACGATAAGTAGTCAAAATAATGCTATGTATTTCAATTTTAGTATCTATTCCAGTGGGAAAGTGAATCTTATTGATGCATTCGGAAGATTAAAATTTAAAATTCTCAGTATTTCTAAAAAATGCCCATAAATACAAAAAAATAGGCGGGTGAGTCGTGGATGTCGATCTGCTGTACAGTAGGTTACAAGTGGGTTACTGTAATAGATGGAATTTAATTTGAATCCAATGATATTATATCATTGTAAACGAAAAACGATTCTGAGCGAAGACGGTTTATCTGTCTAGAATATATTATAGATTATTAAAAATTTTCAAATCTTAGACTTAAAAAGTAAATTTTTTATGAATTTCTAGTTTAAAATAATTTGTGAATTTTTGTGATTTTCGCGATTTTTACACATATTGTCAAAATTCAAACTTGGAACGCTTGTAAAAAAAAATTGTGACTATATATTTCTTTTATTTTTCACCTGCTATTGTAACAATATGTTACCTAAGAGCCTTGTATTAAATTTTCAAGCTTTTCTGCCTAACAAATAAATTTGTATCGATATTAATTTTAAAAAAACTAAAAATTTTTTATTTTGAAAATTTCAAATGCCTATGAATAGTTCAACTTAAGTCAAAATTTTTTTTGAAAATTGCATTGTGGATAGAATATACTTATATAAAGATTCGGTGAAAATTTCATGTATCTATGGTCATTTGTTTTAAAGTTACATCAAMAACCAAAATCGATTTTGTAGAAAAATGAGTGTTTGTAAAATTTCCCGTTTTTCCCTTAATTTTTAGTTTGTTTTTCTTGATTATTTAGAAAAGTATTAATAATTTTTTACTTTTGACCCCCTAAAGTATCAACTAGATTCACTTTCTGATCGAACGAGATGTACTGAAGTCAAAAATCGAAGCATTTTTACTGCCTCAAAACGTGATACAGACACAAAAAAAAAAACACACAGATCATGGTAAAATCAATACATTCATCGCTCCGCTCAGAATCTAAAAAATTGGTAAACAGATGCCATTCTGCAGTTCAGTTGGTTACAACTTACAAGTGGGTTACTGTAATAGATGGTATATTCAAACCGGGACATAAACGAGTTAAAAAGTTAAAGTTACGTTAAAAGTTAAGTTAATTTTCACTTTTTAACTTAACATATTTTCATTGATATTAACTTAATAAATAGGTAACGAGTTATTTTTATTCGAATTCAAGTTAAGTTAGTTTATATTTAATTAAAAAATGAATAAAATACAAATATACAATTATTATTGATAATGCATATTACATAACCAATTTATTTCTTGTTCCATTTACCAGAATTCTTCAAGAAAAAATAACTTACATTTAGATAATAGCAATAGCTATATGCCCAAATATAGGTGTATATTATATTCAATATTATATTATTATATAGGTGTATCGTACCATTCGTACCTATATATATATATGTATAAAGATATACCATATCATACTGCGGCATACGGGTATATTATAATTATAGCAATAATAATACTATACTAACAAATAATAAGTAATAACTAATAAGTAATATGATATTCAATTATAATATAGAGATAGATACAAATCAGAAAATAAATGTAAAATTCTCATGAACAAACTATAAAATGTTTTAGTCCTAAATAAATTATTTTTAAATTAAAACTTATTAGATTACGTTCATAGCTCATATGCATTTTGTATGCATTTGGTACTTGCTATTCAATATTATTCATCACTGATGAATCATCAGTACCTAATAATTTAAGTGTATGTATAGAAAAGCTATTGGCTATTGGCTATTTTCTATGTTGAATAATATGACGTATTATATTTATTATTTTAAACATGTTGTGGTTTAAAATACTAGGTATATA